AACACCACCACCGCCTCCGCCTTCTCAGTCACAAAACACCACCACTACTGTTGCATCCAGCCATACAAAACTCGACCACCGCTACTTCAAGCATAGTCTCGGCTCTTCCCCGGAACCAACTGATCCACCACCACTGCTCACCCACACCCGTAGATCCGCTACCTAAACACAGATCTGCCACGCACCCGAAATGCCCAAAAAACTTTCAGTAGTGTCGACGTTGCTGGGTCCCAGCAGCGTCGACGTTGCTGTGCGACACAGCAGCGCGACGCTGCTGGGTCACACAGCACAGCAGCGTGTCGCCACGCTGCTGCTTCGAGAGTAGATCTGGGGGAGGAAGGGGAGGGACAAAGGGCGACGGCGACGGGCGATGGTTGCGACGGGTGAGAGAGGGAGGAGATATGAAATTGATTAGGGTTTGGGTTTGGATATGATGTCATATTTAAAATAAAGTTGATATAGTAGGTGGGGTGGGGTGGGCATATAGATTAATTTAATTTAAAATAGTATTATTAATATTAATTGTGAAATTAAAACCTGATTTTTTATTAAATAAAGTAAAAACCTGATTTTTTAAAAGTCAAAACTAAACAACTGGTTTAGTGTAATTTCGCCTTAAGCATCACTAATTTCAAAATTAAGAAAGGAGGACAAACGGGCAGGCCGCAGGGCAGCAAAAAGAGAACCAAAATCGAAAGCAAGCAAAAAGCAAAATCCAATAATGGCAGCTTCCGCAATGGTACTGGATCCGAAACCCGTATCCTCATCCGACCCGCCTCCGGCGCTACCCGCAGTCGCCGCTTCTAAATACAGTGAATCCTCCGATGACGATGATTTATACGGCCGGCTCAAATCCCTCCAGCGGCAACTGGAGTTCATCGACATTCAGGAGGAGTACGTGAAGGACGAATTGAAAAACCTGAAGCGAGAGCTTCTACGGTCCCAGGAGGAGGTCAAGAGGATCCAGTCGGTGCCATTGGTCATTGGCCAGTTCATGGAAATGGTTGACCAGAACAACGGCATCGTCGGCTCCACCACCGGGTCGAATTATTATGTCCGGATTCTAAGTACCATTAATCGCGAGCTCCTCAAGCCCGCCGCATCTGTGGCTCTCCACCGCCACTCTAATGCCCTCGTCGATGTCTTGCCCCCTGAAGCCGACTCCAGTATTTCGCTCCTCAGCCAATCGGAAAAACCTGATGTCACCTACAATGTGAGTTAGTTCACTTATATATATATATATATATATGTATGTTATTATCTTGTGATTGAAATGGAAATTAGGACTATAGGAAATATGGCCCATATTGAGCTGATTATTTCCTTGATGGCTTATTCTTACCAGATAGAGCCTTTTTGGATTTGAGTATAAAGAAGTGAACTTTACTATCTTGTGCTTTAAGATAGGTTTTGAAGAGTTAGCAGTAATAGTTCCTGTATATTGAGCTTCCGTACAACATATAGGATGATTTGTAGAAGTCTTTTTATTTTATTTGCATTTAAGAATCATGTGTCAAGAACTCTTATAGTGGTTTGGGAATGTGGACTTGATTATCACTATATAATTGAAATTTTTGATTTGGGATGTTAACTCAACTCTTTGCAATTGCATAGTTTTCCCTTTTTGAAGGTGATTCTTTTCCTTTAAGACCTGTTCAATGATTGAGTTAGAATTATATTGAGCAGAATAACTGTAATATTGGTACGCAAGAATAAACTGCTCGGCGACTTTCTTCCATCCAAGATCGGTAGAACCGTAGAAGTTGGAAGTGGATTTGGGATAAAAAAATTAACACAAATAAAGAATATACTTCATCCTCCTAATCTGGTTTTGCTAACCTTCAAGAGATTTTTGTTTTTTTTTCTCTTCAAAATTTAACACAAATAAAGAATATACTTCATCCTCCTAATCTGGTTTTGCTAACCTTCAAGAGATTTTTGTATTTTTTTCTCTTCAAAATTATACTATAGGTGGGCCCTCAACTTCTTGCACAACTTAATCAACAGTTACAGTGGCCTCTAGTTACTTCATCCTCCTAGGCTGGTTTTACTAACCGAACTAACTAGAGGATAGAATACAAAGGTGTTATTAACAGATAATGGAATTTTCTTTGATAGGAACTTTTAATACCCTCTTTCCAACCCTTCTCTTAAACTGCAACTTTGGAAGGTTTAAAAGCAAATCTTGAAAATTTTTACAGTTTTGGATAGCCCTCCAATAGTGCATATTCCTCGCCACATCCATATGTCGCCAAGCTTTATCCACAACTGAGGCACACTTGTGGAGGATTCTTTATAACTGACAAATAAAATAACTTGTTACAGAGAATCATGACCACCACACACACCAAGCACAAAAGCTCGAAACATTGTAATATTTCCATTTCTATATTAAAACTAAACCTTTGATGATTTTTTCCAAACATTCAAGATATTATTCTCTTAAGATCTAATGCAGAATTTGATTCTGGTTAGCAAAACAACGAAGAACATTGAAGGGAATATGCTGATAATGGATGGACATAGATTTAAAATATTAAATAGGCTAAGAATAAACAATTTTGAGAACGCTCTTGGATTCTGTGAGCTGGACCCCACATGATAAAAGAAGAAATCTAAGATATTTAAAAAATTTAGATTTATATATAAAAATAATAAATACTCTGACGTGGACGCAGTTAAAAGGCTACTTTGGGCTATGATTTATGTCCAAATAAGCTTTTATAGTCCAGAATAAATCCTACTTAGTCTTTGCCTGTTCTAGTACAGCCGTACCTTTTATTGCTTCCATCAGTCTCTCTTGTGTGGAGAAAATTTGCCTTCAATTTTTGAGGGCATTGCAAATGCAGCCATTGCTTTGAATGAAGGACTTGAAAGTTTTCCTCCTTCATCTTTTGCATCAACGAGAACGGTTTTGGACATGCTTCTCCCTAATAATTTTCTGGAATAAAAAATCAACCATTCATGTAGGTCAGAATATTGATTGTTTCATCCCTTGTTCATGCAATTGAAGAATCCTTCATTTCTGAATACTGTAGATACTTGTGATTGGAGAATTCTATTTTACTTTCAAATACTCGACACCATTAGTTAATATTCCATGCCCAATCTTTATGGTTAACCAAGCTGCTATGTTGACCTTCTGATATCACGCGACCTCTTCATTTTCTATATCCTCAGGATATCGGCGGATGTGATATTCAGAAGCAGGAAATTCGTGAAGCTGTTGAATTACCACTCACACACAATGAACTATACAAGCAGATTGGTATTGACCCTCCCCGAGGAGTGTTGCTTTATGGTCCACCTGGTACAGGTAAAACCATGCTTGCCAAGGCCGTGGCAAACCACACAACTGCAGCTTTCATTAGGGTGGTGGGTTCAGAATTTGTGCAGAAATATCTGGGTGAGGTATGCTTCAGAAGCTCTCATCTTTGGTTGTGATGGGTGCTGATTCTTTGTTAGATAACATTTGGAATCGCTTTTGTGTACTATGTCAAGTAAGTTGTGAATATCCAATTGTCTAAATATTATTGCTGCTGTGTATGTAAAGGGTCCTAGAATGGTCCGTGATGTCTTTCGTCTTGCCAAAGAGAACGCTCCTGCAATTATCTTTATTGATGAAGTAGATGCAATTGCAACTGCTCGATTTGATGCCCAAACTGGAGCTGATAGAGAGGTTCAAAGAATACTCATGGAACTATTGAATCAGGTATAATCTGTAGAATTAGGAATTTAGGGGTGCAATCAGACTGCAGAATGCAGATGCATAATTTCATACCTTTGACAAATACTATGAGGATTGTTAGATGCTGTAGAGAAAGGAAAATCCATTTTATGAGTTTTTCTCATCAAACGAATGGCATCTTCTTCTGGAAATCCTAGCTATTCTTAGCATGATATTTAACCCCAATTGCTACGGGAATACCATTTAGTTGACCTATGCCTGTTTGAACAGCCTCGGTTAATCCTGTCTTTCTTTGATAAGAATCAATACGATCTCTCTATGCTCATGTTTTTTGCTATAATGCTTATTATTTGAACGATATGACAGATGGACGGATTTGATCAAACTGTGAATGTGAAGGTCATCATGGCCACTAACCGTGCGGACACGTTGGATCCCGCACTTCTACGTCCTGGTAGACTTGATCGTAAAATTGAGTTTCCTTTGCCTGATAGACGGCAAAAGAGGCTGGTTTTTCAGGTAATTGTTTAGTGAATATACCTGAAGCGTCTTATTTGTTAGCTTTCCGTTTGCTTTAAATAATATGAATTTTTTCATCTCCTATGAATTGAATGGCAATGTTCCTATCAAACGCGAAGTTACTTTGTGTCGAAGAGTTCTCTTTGGATCCACATAAATCTGTGAACTGATTCTGCATGATTTTTTGTGAATTCATGATTGTTGCTTGTCCTTGGCCAGGTTTGCACGGCTAAGATGAACTTAGGTGATGAAGTTGATTTAGAGGACTATGTTTCTCGACCTGATAAAATAAGTGCTGCTGAGGTTTGTTTTTGTAACTACTTTTTTATACAAGATGTTATTTTGAGTATCTGACTATGTTCCCTTTCTCTCATAAGCTTCATTAGTCTTGTATTTTCATTATACGTTTAAATTGTAGATTAGTCTGTGCATTCATTACTCACCTTTTCATGGGTTAGAAGTTCTCCAGTAACAAAGTATTCACTTGATTGCACTTCATTGATTAAGGAAGCAAAGTCAAAAATAATTCATGAGATGGAATATGATTGTGTAATATTTCTAATGATCCCGGCTAATGAACAGTCTGTGACACTTGAAAGAGACAAAAAGGTCAAAAACCACTAGCATCTCAGTTAGCAAATTATTTAATACAACTAAGGAGTCAATCCTGTTTGAATATTAAAAATTCAGTGAGTAGTTTACTGAGAAGAGCTTGTGAAGAAATTATCACATCTCATCTCTTCTTTGGCTGGAAATTTCATAACGTGCTTTTTATGCATCATCGACACAATCTTCCGTTTCAATTCATGTTTCGAAGTATGATGCATCAAACAAAACATTGGAATTATAGGAGAAGGGGAAGGGGAGAGAAGACGAGAAAGGAGGGATGAAAGGGTGTAGATAGAAAGAGAAGAAGAATAAGACACACGGAAGAGAAATTGGAGGATAAAATATGAATTTTTGTTTATATCAAAGACGTGTCTATTAGAGTGCAAAAGCCCATTTATATAGGGTTTAAATTAGTCTAATTTAGGTAAAAAATAACTAACAAAATGCTAGAGAATCTATCAAATTTAGATAGGAAACATATAACAAAATACTAGAGATTCTAGAGATTTTAAAACCTTAATAATGTATCTAATATGGAAAGTCTTCTATATAATATATCTTCTAGATCCCAATTTATATTAAGTAAAGATGCTATATCATTTCTGATGAACAAGCCAAATTGTACAGTTTCTGGCTGCTGATCATGATCTTGGTTCCTGGTTTGGTAGACAGCTTAATTACTGATTTTATTTGAAATCATTTATAGTATAACCTTCTATAAATTAACTAGCACTGAAATATAATAAGAATTTCCTATCCGGACTTTGGTTCATGGAATACTTTTACAGATGTCTGTATGAATCTGTGGTCCCTTTCATACCATAAATTAATAATTTTGCTAAATGATAAAAATATATTTGACTGTTATATTTTCTTGAAATAGAACTCCATTGTTGCGTTCTTTTTTTTCTTGAAATTTCTAGTTGGATCTAATCTCTAATTTTCCTTACTGTACTTAGAAACTGTGGGTTGAATTTTTTGTAACAAAAAATTATGAAATATCATTGATGCTTCGGCTGCTTCTTAGTAGAATGTAATCAATATATAGTTGGTTAAATGCATGTGTATTTGATCATTAATGGACTGTATGAATTAATAAATTTTGCAGAGTACCTACATTATTAGTTTATTAAGGTTATTCTGTACATTTCAACTTGTGTTATTTTTTTGGATAATTCTTGTTGTACATCACCTTGTCCAACAAGGTGTCCATAATGGACATCCGGCACCCTCTCATAGGGGGGAGTGCCGCCCCCACAACCCCTCCCTCCAATAAAAGAGCGAAATTGGGGGGAGTGCCGACCCCACCAACCCTCCCTCCAATGAAAGAGCGCCTGGTGTCTATTATGTAGACCCTTATGTTAGTGGTGATGTACCACTAGCATTACCCTCTATTTTTTTGGTGCCAGTGACCTTTACACTGAGATGCGTGTTTCATGTTTTGCACTTTGGTCTAGCTGCGACAGCGTGAAGTGTGACCTATAGCTATAATCATCCTTAATCCATTGTTAGACGTATGAGTTCTGGTATGGCAAATAATTTATCTAATGGCCGCCATCAATAAGTCCTAAATGATATTTTTATAACTAGGCCACCTAAACTTCTTTTTAGAAATTATGAATATTAGTTAATTTAAAGTTCAAATGATATATGTATGAGAAACTTGTAGCTTTAATAATGCATAATCATTTGCATAAATTACAAGCTTGCTAAATTTATTTTACATCCTACGTATCCAGACACGGGAATATTTTTTTATGTAGCCACCTTTATTTTTCAAGAATTGACAAGTAAATCTCTTTTGCGAGATGGGGATAGGAACCAAAATACCTCATGGTCAATCCCTTGGGACTTGGCTACCTTAATTTCTTTCATTAGCATTTCTCCTCGGTTTTATTGGGAACAAGGTTTAATTAATACAATTATTATTTTTAGAACTTTAGGGCATTCCTGGACTCTATCCTTGGTGGTGTTGGTGCCCTGCATGAGCTAAATTTTAAGTGGTGAAAGATTGAATTTGTGTTGGATTAACTACTTTGGTGGTTTTGTACAGATTGCCGCTATATGCCAGGAAGCAGGTATGCATGCTGTCCGCAAAAACCGGTATGTTATACTTCCAAAGGACTTTGAGAAAGGATACCGGAGCAATGTCAAGAAACCAGACACTGATTTTGAATTTTACAAGTAATCACAGTTTTCATATTTGTGAAATTGTATGTTCCTTAATGCTTCCGAGTTCATGTGGATTTACTGTAACAGTACTTTTTATTTATACCAAATTGATTTATCTGTACAATGAATGTACAGATTGATGCACTCTTGATTGAAATGATAAATGAATTGAATAATTCTGCAGGTACAGGAAAAATTCAATGCGAAATCTGTTGAGTTTTTTCCTGCACTTGTAGCATTGTTCGAATTGAATTAAGGATTAAATTATTTGTACACATAAAATGTACATCTTGATTGACACTTTCCTATGTATCAAAAATCTTGCAGTTAATTGGAAAAGAACTGTGCTACAGTCACAACAATTTTGACAGCAAGTTTCGCAGTCTTCTCACATTAGAGGAGGCCCCACACGGAATAAAAAATTCACGGGCCCCACATTTGTGAGGGGGCTGTAACATTTGCTGTCAAAGGAATGCTGTACAAACAGCATTTTTCATTGGAAAATGTGGTGTTAACTTTAATGTATCAAAATTTGCAAACTCACATGGGTGTAAATCTTTATGTACATATAGTATGGTCCATAATTAAATCAAACAAGCACCATCTATTAAATCAAACAAGCACTAGATGGTGATTGGCTGAACAGGGTTGAGTTTATTGGTCTAGTTCGCTAATGTGGGGCTGTGCTACCTAATCTGGGAACAGAGAACATGAACTTTGAGTAAAAAGAGGTCAATTTTCACATTCTCTATCTCAAAGTGATTCTTATATTATGCTTTAAGAACACGTTCAAAATAAAGTGTTGCACAAGACGTGATTGTTTTGTAATTGGTAACATCTTAATTTTTTATTTTATTTTTTAATTAATTGTCCAGTTTCCAAGTGTTTGGATATACATAGTCAACTATTGCAATAAAAGAACTTTTGGAAATTACGTAGGTACTCGTAATTTTTTTTTTTTTTGTCACAGTCAACTAGAGATATTCTCGATGCTGTGATAATAGCGTTTACTAATTGAACTTCATTTAGGTTCTACGTCCTGAACATATTTTTTAATTGATAATTTCGAAAATTTATTATAAAATTGTTATTGTATGTTTTCATCAATTAAAATCCATATTCAACAATAAAATCAAATTTAAAATTACAAGAAAAAGATATTCTAATGAGGTATTTTATAATGAATTAGAGGTTTAACTGATATTACAAACATTTTAAATGAAACCTTATTTACAAATATTATTTTCTAATGTAATGTTAAATATTTTATTTACAAGTTCAAATTTAAAAAATTCAGAAAGTCCTAAAGAATTTGGAAATACAAATGTGTTAACCTCCTGACATTCTAATATCAATTTTATTTTTGGACGATTCAACTAAGTCTTCATAATGAACAATAACGTAAAAATAATCTTCACCATCAAACGCAAATTATTCACATTAATGTTTTAAGGCCTATAGCTTTAAGCATAAGATAACTTACTCGGGTGGCGACTTCATCGACGACATTTGGTAAGTTCTAATTGATGACAGATCTAGAAATCCAACACCACCAATCGATCATGCAATTTAAACATAAATAAAGTGTAATGTTATTCATAATCAACGACTGCAGTAGTTATCATATATAACAGTTAAGTATTAATTTCCTGTAAGTAACTTTGTTGCTTCAAATAACAAACTATCACATAAGGTTGATTATTGTAGTCGCTGATTGTGAATAACATTATACATAAATCAAACAACATACATTCTCTAAAGCCACTTGGAGCATGCCACATTGGATTTGGTTAGAATTAAAGAGACTTAAAGAACCATGACAGTCGAAAGAAAGAATCTTTTGTCCAATCCAACATATCAAGTCAAACGTACTATAGTACCGAATAACTCCGCTAAATCACAGCTAAAATAACTTCAAACTAGATCTTCTGCAAAAAACAGAAAACAGAAGACATGACCCACAAGAGGTCAATAGCTTCAAGAACAATGCTTTTCCCACTCTGGGAGGATTCTATCAGCCTGTTAAAAACAATGGCTTTCCGCCTCATCTTTTCTTTGGTGTCAATATTTTCTGTCTAAAATACGGTAAACATTATTAACACGCAGCTAGGATGTTATATAGCTGAGCTTCGGGAGTTCTTATCGACTAAATCGGCACCACTTACATATCTAGCAACAAAGGATATTAAACGGAATGGTGCACCAACCAAAGGAGCTTCTGAAAGTGGGACATCAATTTTCTCATCATTTTGTCCCGCCTCTAAATCAGATGCATCCATAACTTCACTCTCATCCAATGGAATTTGCACAATTTCATTGGACTTCAAGTCCGAAGAGTTTGCTTGTGCATTACCATCTTTGTCATTCACATGCTTGCCATTCCTCACATCTTTGATGACGACATCTTCCAAGGACTCAGTCACTTCACTCGATATAAACATTATCCTACCAGCTTCAGATGAGGAATCAGTTGCTTGTGCACTTCCACGTCTATGGGCATCTCCAACCGTTGGATCCAGAGCAAGAGCTGAGTTATCGGAGACATTAGCTGATTGAGGAATCACACCCTTTGGATCAGAGACAACAGAGGAAGAGATTTCCAGTTTTGCACCCCTTTGCTCAAGCTCAGAATACAACTCATTCACCTGAAACAACATAAAAATAACCTAAATTCTTGTGCAAATTGGATAAAAAACATTTCGCCAGAAAAGGTTACTTTTCCCTTATTTTAATTGGTTGATTAAAATTAGCTGTAACCACTACTGGAAGTTTTTTAATACGGATATGAATATTACTCTCCCAACCTCAAGTGAACAGTAATAAGTTAGGAGGGGAACAAGGGAAAGGCCAAGTCATAGGTAGGTGCTAGTCAAAATATGACCACAAAATAAACCAACTTATGCATCAGCTACCACAGCTTCTGCCTACCATTCCAGAGCATGATACCTTACCTTTCCAACCAGCTCTGCATTTTCTCTAATCAAATTCTCAACCATTGGATGTGCAGCTTCTATCTGATAGTCCACGTCCCCATTTTCAGAGGTAAGCTACATCAAAAAGAAAAACTCTAATTAAAATGTTGACCATATGATTAGCGATGTAAAATAAAATTAATTATTTAATCCCAAGAAAACTAACATTTCCTTTCTTAAAAATTAGAAGCTCAAAATCAGCTGCAAGCATGATAAGTTGGAAGGAAGATACAGGAAAACTAAAAAAACCAACCACATCGTTCTCTACAGAGTGAGAAAAAGCAGCACTGCTCTCAAGTTTGTTGATCTGTGACTGAAGACTAGATATGTTCTGTGTCAAAAGATGATTTTCTTGTAAGAGACTCCTCCTCTTTGACTCTTCCAACTCCATCACCTGCCAGGATTCAGCTTTAACTTCCAATTTCCATAGCAGAATAAATAGAGAAGCTTGTCTTAAATAGGGCCCACTGAGAGGTATCACATGTGCAATGCCATGACATTCTTCTCATCTCTCGGAATTACTACCAATTGGCAGAGCTTAACAACTAAACATTGGGAATGGGGGTCATGTCATGGGAAAATATGAATGAATTACAAGAATCCAATAGCACCTCCCAAACCCCTAAAGTACCTACTATAAGCACTTTCTAAATCATGAAGTGTACAGATCTTAGTTTCCATTGAGCACGAATACTAAAAAACAAGAAAATGGGCCAAAAATGCAAATTGTCTGCCTTTTCCACCATCTGTCCAAGAAGAAAACTAAAAAGTGTTTTAAACACAAAATACCTATATGTACCAGCCTTATTAGCAAGTAATTTCTGACCTTAAAAAATAGTATATCAAGGGCGTATTTTTTTTCACCATCAAACTATATTGCAAGGCATTGTAAAATGTAATGTAGTTCAATGTGTATAACTTCATACTAGTCGGAGAAATAACCAATAAATCAATCCATACAAGTTGAAAGATAAAGACATCCAGGTAGATAGTCAACTATTAAATGATGATTGTTCAGGTAGCTGGACTCCATACCTCAGCACGTAATTTCGTGTTATCATTTTCAAGGGTGGCAATTGCTTCCTCAGTTGAATTCTGTCACAGATAAAGAACCAGATCAAGAAATTAGTTCCTTCATTATTATCTCTATTCATAATCGAAGGAGGTGAGATTGTTCTGAGGTGAATTCTGACTTCTCTCCAGATTAACGTGATGATCATGAAAAAAAAAATTGTGGTAAAGAGGTTTAACATTCTACTTCTGCCCTTCTAGGCTTCAAACCTTCTATATACGCAGGTGAGAATAAGTAAATTATATTAGACATACTTCCTTGCTCTTTTTTCTTCGGATTTCTGAAGATAAAACTAAACCAATTCGAGAGACTACAACATTTAAAACTGGAAACAAGCATTAGTATGAGACAGAAGGACTTTGTACCTGCTTTTGGACCCAGTAATCTCTTTCTTTTTCCATATGTTTTATCCTTTCGTCCAAGCTTGCCTGTGCTTCAAGGTCTAAGTTAATATAACCATTTAAATCTTCAAGAATTGACTAAACACAGTACTGATTCGATCATGCCAAAAAAAAATGCTTAGGAAGTTTAGTGAGAATAAGGAGAAAATCAAATTCTAAAGTCTTAAATCAATTACCCCTTTTAAATTTAGAATGGCCACTTCATTCTCCAGCTGATTAGTTTTCTCCTCAAAACCAACCTGCAAGAGGCAAGATATTAGACGACAAGACAGAAGAAAGTTAGGGAAAACTTCAAAATACCAGATTTCAACTATAGAAAATGTCTTTTGTTAAAATGTTGTATAGCTAATCAAGGAACACTGCAACTCAAACGTCTCCAATAAGGCTGAAAACCTATAATTGCTCTTGAGAATACAGAGTTCTAAGATCCAAAATTTCAACAAAAAGTTGATAATTCTAAGAGAGTCACCTCTTTCTTGAGCCACAAATCTCTCTCACTCTCTAGTTGTAGGATTTTCCTCTCTAGATCAGCCTGAAAATTTGCATATTAATCATATATGAAGTCTGAAATTACAAGAAACACGATAAGAAGGGCGGATGGAAAAAATTCCCTAAAAAGTGAATAAATAGAACATGTTCATAGGATTGCAGCAGCTGCATAACCTTCTACATTCAGAACAGTGTTAGAATTACCTCTTTTTGCAAATATGCATCCTTGCCCTTTTGCAATTGTTTAATTTTCTCTTCTATACTATCCTGTAGCAGACAAGTAATCATTAGCTGGCTTCCAGAAAAAAAAGGAAATATATATATGTGTGTGTGTGTGTGTGTGTGTGTGTGTGTGTGTGTGATGTAGAATCAAAACAGAATTAGAGTTATAGGAAGAAAGTAGAAGTAGAAGAAGGGGGGAAGAAGCAGGGGAGGGGGAGAGAAACCGTGAGAAGCAACAGAGAGGGAGGAAGAGCAGGAGGCAACCGCTAATCGCAATTTTAATCAATTCATCAACTAGAGTCAATTACAATGAAATCCCAATAAATAACAGAAAATAACCTAATTTTAAGGGATTGTGCCAACCCGATAAAACAAGCCGAATAATACGAAACACAAATAATAAAGTCCAATAACAATAAAATAAATCTCGCTGATATCCGCATCAACTCTCTCGGGGTGGAAGAAAACTCGACCC